AGAGTTATATGGTGTCTGAATGGTATAATACCCATGTATATAAAAATTTAAAAAAAGCAACAACAACAACAAATAAAAAAGGTAAACATTGCACTGGCATATCAAATGTTCGTGCCAATTTGATGTTTTTGGAGCGCAGATGTTCTGTTCCTGGACAAACTATGATTATCGAAGCATGTACGAGTATAAGTTTTATGCTTACACGTCAGGTATATTGTCCCTTTGTATTAACATCATGTGAGTATTTGTCTTGAGGAGAAAAATGTTCATGTATTCTTTTGTTCATTTTACATTCAGTTCACTTTGCTTCATTTCATTCATAAAATGCATTTTAAACAGGTCAGCATCTTGTTTGCAACGTCTGTAAACGTGTTACTTGCACACTGGATGTGCATCACAACTTCTATCTTTTTAAGCAGTTCCTTGCTGTTGCTTTTATCCTAATTGCTTTTTCCAGTTTTTGTCGTTGGTAGTATTAATTACTTAGGTTTTGCACTTTATGGTTGTCCTTTTACTTGTTACCATACCACTTTAATTATGGTATTTTATATGTACTTAATTCTTTATGGAGAAACTTATTTGCAGCTCGGAAAATAGATATTTCAATTTAAGAGGACAAAATCGACTTTGCATTTTTATAAGTTATTAACTTAATTTAAAATCGTTGGCTTTACTTGTTTCTTTAATGAAGTAAGAGTTTTAAAAATGTAACGCTGAAGCGTAGATAAAAGGATTTCATAAAGAAGTATTAATTGCAGTTTTATGTGCACACCTGTGAAATAAATTTCAATTTTCCTTTAAAGTGTTTTTGATTATAATATTTTCATACTACTTATTCTAAAGTAAATAACAGATCTTACAATATTTACTTTATTGTGTTGAATATATAAACACTCAAATAAATTATAATGAATCTGTCAACTCACACCATTTTTTTATAAGGTAATGTAAGACAAACATATATGCAAAGAGTTTCATTCGAACATCGTTTAAAAATAATTATATGTACAATACTATATGAATTTATGATTAGAACTAACCTCTTATATTTTATGTTAAAAATAAAATGGATCTTATTGTCATAAAAAGTCTTAAAATATGTATATTTTTAGGATATGTTATGTGCTCAATAAGAAGTGTTTATAGAAACCCATCCAGAAACTACACCCAGAAACTTTTACTTTTGTCTCCGTGTCTACCACGTATATCTATATATTTTTTGGATAAATGTTTAGTAAGAAATATTTATAGAATTCTGTAATAAGAAATATGAAACTCACTTTTATCACTATGTCTTCAAAAAAATGTCTTGTTTGGAGTACATTAAACCTATGAACTAAAGATCTATGAAGTAATGATAAACTATGGAAAATGTACTGTTTGTTGCTGTTAAGAGTGGACTTCTTGATTGGACTGTACTATTTTAAATTATAAAAAAAATTGGCATGTCGCAGTTAAAGATATATGTACAAAGATATAGTCATTACTAGTATTGTTTTTTCAAAAGTACCATACATAAACATATGCTGTATAGTTTTTGATTTTAACATGCCAGCACCTGGTTGTTCGTTTCAATGAGTAATATATAAAACGTATATGAAAATAATATTCAAGAGCATTTCTGTATCTTTTAATCCTATGATATTAATAATATTGTATTATATTAACAGTAATATCGATAACTTATTGAACAGCATATTTATTGACTACACTATTTGTCGAAATGGAGTTATGTCATGTCTAACTAGATCATGTGATTGACCGCCGGCATATGGGGATTTCTATGGTATAGACTAATACATTCCACAAAGAATGTGGAAAATTGGTTGTTAAAGGTATGATTTTGAAATAAATTTTTTTTAAATTTCTAATTTCAATTTTACAATAATATCTTATATATTTGAAAAGTTTGCAAATTAGTTATTGGATTTATTAAACAAGCAGTCATTTAAATGCTAATGAGTAAGTGCTCTAATAAATATTAGTTTATTTTTTGAACTTTTCATTCTTGATAGTAAAATGTAGTGAGAGCATTAGACCTCTATATTTGCGAGATCTTATTTAAGTATATAAAAGGATTTCTTAATGAACTTGTGTAAGTACTTCTACTTGTATATAGTATATAAGTATATAATAGTACACAAGTAAACATATCTTGCTGTTCTTTATATGATTATATTAATCATGTTTCCGTTTTCTGTCTGAGTTTGTTTCTTCTTTAGAATTTTCAGTAGGGTGATTTCCTATCTAATTTCTTATAGCAATTATGACTTTTTAAATTAAATCTGAACTGAAATCTGTTGTAACTTTAAGTGATGCTTAACATTTTATTTTTAATTTTTATATGTTAAAATTTTTGATTTTATTTTTTGCACTGTTTGAACCCATATCCGTTTGTTGCGTTTTAACTCTTTTAAGTAATTCTTCCTTGGTCCTGATTCATGGTTATGATAAAGTCTTCTGCCCATTTTGGTAATTGTTTGCAGTTTCTTATTGCCTCTTTTAATTGCTTTCCTTTTTTTTTGTTGATTTCATTTCTTTTGTACTCTTCACTAAGTAATTGAGTTTTTGTAGACTAAAACAAAAGCTGGTGCCTGGCGCGTTAGTTTTTAATGGATTTGAATTTAAGATTAAAAATCCACTTTTAATTACAAAAAAATCTCTCTGGACTGAAAAACTTTTACGTTGCAATAAAAGCAATTTATACTTATGGTTTCCATTGAAATATAAAAATTGTCTTGTTCAGTGTTTCCCAATGTGGGTAGTACGCTTCACAGGGTGGCAATTGGTTTGATTAGTGGGTTGAATTCTGCTTCAATATAACAACAGTTGTTTTTATTAATTTCACAAAAATGTGTTTGACATATTCTTTATTAAATGATATTAAGATGTATATTTATTATGCAACTTAATTAATTATGAAGCTTTCTTATGTAAGAATCTCATATTATCTAGATTATGGCATTAGTTGTTAAATGGAGCAAAAATTTAAAAGTATACTAAAAAAAGAACCAAGAAAGTATTGCTATTTTAGTCGAGAATACGATAATATATACTGAGGCGCTTGAAAACTATTCACCTCGTAGTTGGGGCATACGATCTAGATAGTAGTAAAAATTATACCTTTCTTGTTTGTTTCTTTTTGGTAAAGGGAATCATAAAATCAATTTTTCTTTTAGTTAGGAATTATTTGTATGACTAGCTAAGAATGTTGGGAAACACTGGTCTAATCTGAAGCATAAAAATTGTAAAATCTTTTAAAAACTTTTAAGCCGTTTTCGGTGTTGTGTGTTTAAAAAATATTTTTATTGAAGTGCATGCAGATAATTTATATTAAATTTACTCAAATAGTTTCCACTATTTTATTTATTCAGTTGTAAATTTATGAGTAAAGTTTGTTGCAACTTGCAAGTCTTAAAAACTTCTTCATTTGCTGTGAATATTGGATGAAAGTTAAATTTCCAACACTTGTGGAAAGTGGTAAAGTATGCAAAATTGAAATATTATATATTATACATATTCTCAAAATTTTTAAAAATTATTTTTATATAGAAAATCTAACTATTAAAGTGTTTCTAATTGCATAAAAAAACTTTGTTGCTTTTAGAAAGGACTTGTTTCAAAATTTATATATAGTACTTAAAATTTTAACCATTACTTGTTTTTGCAAATTATATATATTGAATATATAATATTAGTTATCAGCATATAATTATAAAGAAATACCTTAAGGTGAAAGGCAATGTTATCCTGCACTTTGGTAAACTTTCTTTCGACTTTAATGAAACTATACAAATACTGAATGGTCTTAACTAGAGATTCTTAACTAGCGAAGGTTTACCGAAATACTGCAATCTGTGTTCTTCCAAAATTGGACATTCGTTCACCAAGTGTATCATATCGCCTTTTAATTTGAGGTTGCATAGGTATATATATAGCTTAATATTTGCATATATAATTAAACCAGTTTATAAATTACTTTGTATTACAACAAATTCGAAAATGAAATAATAAATAGATCTACATTTATATAAAAACTACAAAAACAAAAAAATTAAATACTTAATAATCTACTGCAGGGCTGTCCGGAGCAAGGACCGCGGCATATTTTTATTCTACCACAATTACGCGAATTCTTATGGTATACCAAGTATATGAATATAAATTGATAAATTAATAAAACTACATTAAGATTATAAATGCATATGAATTAAAATTGATAAATTAATAAAACTAAATTTAACATTATAAATGTCGAACCAACTATGAACGTATGTATTTGTTTTTGCGACTCTCCAATCTGTACAATGATTGGTATTGACCCGCGATCACATCTAGTCTGGACAGCCCTGATCTATTGTATTTTGTTGCCAGCAACAAATTCAGCCACTTATAAAATAATTAATTAATTGGCATAATTTTAATATTTAAAAATTGAATTCTTCTTATTTTGACGAATTAAATTATAATCAAACTGAATCATTTTTAAATAAATTGAAACTTAATAACAATTAAACAATCGATTACTTTAAAGGCTACTTTCTGATGATGAATATTTGGAAATATCCAAAAGGGATGTATGGTCAGACCGAGATTTCATTTGATAATAAACATTTTTTTAATTTCAAAATATTTCTATTCGAAATAGATTTCTTGTGATAGAGCATGAACATTTGAATGAGGAAATGTAATAACATTAAAATAACATTCACTCCCCTCACATATCCTTGAATTGATATCCTGTTTGCATGGCAAAGAAAAATGAAATTTCAAAACAAAAGCACGTGTTTCTATTTGTAAATCATAGAGATTTAGCGGGAAAAACATAAACAAACTTGATTAAAAAAAATTATACAAAAAAGCAAATATTACTCAATATTTTGTGCGCAGGTGCATTGGAAGCTGTCACAAAGTCATTTGAAGAGTGCACAGAATAAATGAAAGATACGAGAATAAAATAATTTAATAAAATTCGTAGAGCTCAAAAACGGTACCATCGGAGCACTAAGCAGAGTCAATGAACGTACTTTGAAGCAACAGGACTTTAAACGAATTTCAGCGGAGATAAAAAGAACAAAAATCATCGAAATATTTGTGAAACAATAAAAACCATTGGCAAAGGATAATAAAGGAACCAGCGTCAAGGAGCGCCAGTTATGTGCTTGTATTTGGGTGTTGCGGATCATTTGGTTGACATTGCGGCTTATTGCGTTTGCCGCGTGATTGAAATGTCATTTCTTTTTGTTATGATGCTGTGTGGCGCGAAGGCGAAGACTTTAGTTTATGTACCAAATGACGTAGAACGATGATGTACTGATTGTCATTGTCATTCCATCTTAGCAAATCAGTAGTAAAACAAGTAGCAGCACACAAGCAGTTAAGACTCCTTCTCTCGAAACAGCTTTATTGTCGAAAATAAAATAAAGAAAATAACAAAAAATGTTTCTAAACAAGTAAATGAATGTCAAACAAACAGAAACAACAAATTTAATTCCAGTCAAGTCTTGTTCAATTTTTATGTATTTTGAATTAATGAAATAATAAAAATAAAAGCTTCAAGGATCATTTAGAGGAAAATTTTCAAAAATTGTGAAAATGATGTGATTTGTTTTATTTCTAGTATTTTTAAACTGCTACAAGCAGTTCAGTTGTAATTTTTTTTAATACATATTCTCTTATAACGAAACGGTAAGTGGAGAGGACATTTTTATTAGTCTCGTAAAAATGAACAATTTTATTTGTTGTTCAAGTGGTAGAAAAATTAATGTCAGTGCTAAAGTTGAAATAGTAAAAGAATTTTTCAGGCGAATATAATTTAAAACACTTAATGTAATGAGTAAAGATGCTTTTTGCTATTACAGAAATTAAACAATATTTATTTATTTTTTTATTTAATATCTTAAAATGTGTCTATGTCTTTAAATATAAGTACTTCCCTACAAAAACATACCTAAAATTAATATATTTGATTTCTTAAGTCGCTTTACTTATTAAGTGTTAACTTGATTTTAGAACTCCAAGTACCTATTAAGGTGAGTTATAGGGTTATCCATGTTGTGGCTCTCAACGTTGCTATAAACAAAATACAGTTGTGTTTTAGACTTCTTTATATTTCAATATATTATTTGAATCTTACTATTAGGCGTGTAATTCAACATTATTCAAGGCATATCTGATGGTGTTACATATTTTTGAGGAAAGTTTGGAAAACTTACTGGCATATAACTAGCCGTAGTTCTCTGCCATTGGTTAGGTTGGTGTGCACCACAAATCATTTAAGGACAAATAAAATCTTGTTCGTATGTCAAACCTTGAAAACCTGAAGTTAGAAAGATGTCCGTTAGCACATAACACGTCTATTTCAAAAAGTGTTGATCTAGCTAATAAAACACATATAAATTTTTACAGCTCTCGAAGTTTGAAGATTATATCCATAAGCAAATTCTTTGCTCAAATGCTAAAAAAAGTCAAGTGATGACAAATTGCATGGTCTTAATGGTTAAATCACTTCAGCAGAATATAGAATTGTATTTTGTTTACAAAACAGAATGAATGTGTTATGTAGCATGAAGTACCTTTCTGCTGAAAGCGTATATCTTCCGCATCCATACCATCAATTTTATGTTGCTGAAATTTTGAAACATCAACAATTTCTAATTAAGTAGAGATTATGTAGAAAATAGATGTGATGAGTTCATCATTTCCCAAAAATTTCTGAAAAATTATAGTCACACCAAAGAATGACCTTTTGAGGATGCAAAACTTTTTCGCCAGTGAAGTCTGAAATTTTTCTGCACCTTATGCGACAATTTGGCTTGCTACCCCATATCTACCAAGCGAAAAATGAACCTCATCACCAGCTACGATTGTGCGAAAGGTGGAGGGATATACTATTTTTTTTTTTGCAGTATTTTTCTAATGTATTATCTGTCAAAAATAGATGACGGATACTGATTGCGAACGTCGGCAAGTATATAATTTTATTTACGCTGTATTTCATATTTAACATTATATTAAAATAAATATAAAGACGTGTTTTATTTTTGACATATCTATTGATATATTGTCATCACGAGATGATCTTTCCTCTGTATTTCTTTCTCTCTCTGTACGCTACTGTACATCAGTGCAGACGATTCCATACGACAAATCGTTATTCAAACAATATTATTCAAGCATTCAATCAGCATAAATACAAATGGTTAACCGGTTTCAGTTCCTGTGTTAAATGAATTTCATAGATCCAAAAAAGGTAATATTGCGCGTTGTAATGAAATAAATTCTTCAAAGTTTTGACTGTGTTGTATAATCTGAGTGATTAGCGATTATGTCGCCTAAATTTTCTTTATAATACACGACAATAGATTTACAGAACTAAACTAATAACTAAATATATGTAGTATTTTTTGGATAACAGCTTTGAAACAGATCTATCATTTGGCAACCATGATATAGATATGTTCGATTTATAGGTATTTTGATCTACATGAAAATGTTTAATAATAATTAGTATAGCCTTCGTAAATGTGAATATCTTATTCACATTTGGACCAGTTGAGCTCTGTAGGTTTTTTTTTTATTTCATCATTGGTTGATTATAAGTTGGGAGTTCACTAAAACATTAACGATTCATATTTTTTTTTTTAGAATAACTTGTGATAGTAAATTTTTTAGTTGATGTTTTTGGTTTTAATTAGTATTTCCTTATAATTTAATTTTCTAGAATTTCTTTTTCAATTGTTCATTACTCTATTTTTATTTAGTACCACTTATTGTTATTGTATAAATAGTACTAACGATTAAACACATATATTCGTTTAATATCTTTAATATTTCCTCTTTGTCTGACTGCATTATCAAAGATTGCATATTACTGGGTAGTAATTTAAATAATACACAGATTATGTTTATATTTGTCAAATATTAGAATAAAGGGAATTTCCATTTCAATGAAACAAATATATGCGTTATATTGTTTGATGTATTTATATTAGATAAAAGATACATTTTCTATCTGCATTCCGGGCTTTGCACTTTATAAGAAATTAAGTACAAACAGTATGCAAATACATTTGTTGAAATATTTGCATAATTTTGTTTAATGTTAAACCACATATACTTTAATTTAATTAGTTTTTGCCTAATTGATGCTGCACTCCATTATATCATTTAATTTTAATTAAATATTGGGACTATTAAATATGTATCTTAACAATGGCATTAAATGTGCATTGTTTTAGGCCGTATGTGTATTGTTTGCCAATGTCGAATATTCGATATATATAGAATAGTTGTAAATATATATGGAAAAACAAAATGTAAAATGCATTGTCAATATATTCATTTAACTTAAATAATTATAATTTGTTATTTTGCCAAGAAGGATTATTTCATCTGAATTATTTGGTATTAGTGTTAAAATGTAAAATGAAAGTTACAAATTGGTATTAGTTTCGGTATCACAAAAACCGGAAACAACTAAAATATGTATATGCCTTAATTTGGACACAAAAAATACATTTATATACTTTACAAATAGATAAGTAATTGTAATACACATATGCTTATCATATGGAAATAATAATATTACAATACATAAAGATATTACAATAAAGTTTAAAATACTTCTCAATAATAATATTTTAAAATGATTGAGAAATTAACAGGACATTTTCAATAAGTTATTTGCTTACAAAATTTAATATATTTGAATACTCTGCATTATAACGTTCTAAAAGTCTAAGATCCAATTATATTGTAAATTCTTAAATTAACAGCTAATATAATTTTTTTAATAAGTCGTATATACATATAGATAGATATACAGTTGTATATATTGTACTACAAAATTATGTTGAATTTTGAATTGCTATAATAATCTCAAGAATAAATCTTTTAAATGATTATGGGTTTCGTAGGCAGCCCTTATCTCTGTGACCAGTTCTTGATTAAATTTTAACAATTAAAAAGAATTATTTTTACATAATAAAAGTTATGAGTGAAAATGTGCTAAAACTGCCCATAAGTGTTGAATATTTCGTTGCTTAATATGGAGAACTTCAATATATAATAAAAAATCAGTTGATTTCGGCATGCATAAGGTATATAGATACCCTTCATACATACTCTTTAAAGTTTACTAAAATTATTCAAACGATGCTGATAACAATAAGTTGGCATGACATCAGTTTTGAACGAAGGTATGCAACATAGAAAAATTCCTCCTCCATATTCTAAGGACAAAATTCGAAGCTTCGAACTGTCGAAATAGTATTTGAAGCTAAAATGGTGTATATAATAAAGGTTCGTGTATAATTTATATGGATTTTGTTTTTAGTTTTAATTCAATATTTTCCTTTTAAAGAATGAGAAAACTTTTAGGTTCATTTCTATAATTAACGTTGATCTTTTTGTTGAATATGACGCCTCTTATAACGAAAAGAAACTAGAAGGGTTCGAACAGTAATATATTGATATACAGATGTCTGAATTGGTGATACAACACCTTAACTCTATTTTATCTGTGGACAGTTTTAAATCACACTAAGAATAACTGAATACGAGGCTTTATAATTTGATGGAACTGATGTCTTTGTATCTGCCTGTGTTTATCAGATTTCGCTGAATTTTTAGATTGCTGAGTGTTGGATTATAGTAACTGTCAATTATATTGAACAATTTCAATGCACGGTCTTTAATGTACTTTTCGACTGAATCGACTCTCAGATCTTAGTGGATATCCGCTCTTCTTACGTACCATGGGGCGTTAACCAATTTTCTTAAGGCGATATTTTACCCTCTTTGAAGAATTTTTAATGTTGAGTTTGGCGCTTGGCAAAATTAATACTGCCATAGAGTAGACCTGGTTTAATAATTTGCTTAAATATGTTAACTCTATTCTTTATGTTGAACTTTTTGCTGCTGATGAGCGGGTGGAGGGAGTGCAATATTCGGGCAGCTTGAGCTCGTTTGGAGTTGAAATGTGCTTAACAGGAGTGAATAGGCTATAGAGCAGTGGAGATAATTTATTTTTTTTTGAGATAAACTACAGTAATTTAATTAGACCAAGTTGTTTTACCGACTAATTTACCTTAAACCCAATCATATATTGCTTTCATGAAGTGACATATCATCTAATAAACTTAATATACTGTGTTTACATTAAGTGTGAAGCGTAAAAAAGGTCCTAAATTACGAGTAAAAAATCACCTGAAATACCGCAAGAATAACACAGTTGCCATGTTGTAATTTTTAAAAAAGTTATTAATTTTACGGCCTGTGTTTTTTACTCCTTAACCTTTTTCTGCACTTTGTTTGTTATCATTTGACTGCGTTGAGTTATTCATTTAATTTTTAAATTTGTACAAAACAAAAAGATGGGTTTAATTTTTACATAAATAAAGGAGCGAATATTAAGTTAAAATAACAAACAAATTTTTTTCATTTACAGTAAATAAATTTTAACCCGT